CTCTAAAAAAAAAAAAAAATGAAGGTGAAATAAAGCCTTTTCTAGATAAACAAAAACTGAGAGTATGTTGCTAGCTGACCCATTTTATAAGAAATACAAAAGGAGGTTCTTCAGGCTAAAAGCAAATGATTCCATAATATTACAAATCTACAAGAACAAAAACCATAAAGGTAAATTATGTAACTATAAATACATAATCTTTTAAGTTTTTTCTTCAGGGCACATACACTCACTAGAGAGAGACAGAGAGAGGGAAAGTGAGAAATCATCCTGGGGGTGGGGGTTGGCCATGTTGTAATCCCTTCTCCTCCATGCTCTTTTTGGGATTTGGGGCTCTCATACACACACGCTCAGCACCAAGTTTTTCAAGCCTCTGGATCTGGGACTCAAACCACACTGTTGGCTATGTGTGATCCTTAATCATCATGCCACCGACTGGCCCTGTGGTTTTTCTTTTTTAAACTGATTTAAAAAGCCCTTTTGTTTTTTAAGTTGCCAGAGTGAGTGTGTGCTCACAAGAAAGTGAAAAAGCACACCTCAGTAGGACATAGTCACACTGCAGTATGTCTCCTCCACCTCTTCATCCTGTTGAAATTTTACACACACACAAGCATGCATGCCTGGTGCGTTTTCAAGTCACTGAAACTGGGATTCGAAATGCAGTTGGCCACATGGTATTTGGCTTCCTTAAAACTAAACCACCTAAGAAGCAATTTCTTAAAATAACATGTATATAATGTACTGCTGGGCTTATAACATACAAAAATGTAATATATGTGTAATACATTTGCTAATAACAGCACAAATGAGGTAAGTACAAGCAAAACTGTAATGGGCTAAGGAAGCAACTACAATAGTAAAGCGGTAATTATAACAATACACTTTTGGGTTTATAACATTAATAGATGCAAAATGTAGGGAGTACCCAGAATACTTCAGACATAATACTCAACGAGGGTAAGATTCATATACTATACAATTCATTATACTCCCTGCTAAAGCAAAACAAAATAAAACAAACACAAAAATGAACATCACCCAAATACAAGGAATCCTCTTCTTCTGGCTACCTTTATATACTGCTCTGACAGACTGAAAATGTATTTTGAGTCATTTCTTTTTCTATCCTGAGGGCTAAAGATTTCAGAAGCCCAGAAGCCAGTTTCTGACAGGGAATCCATAAGATGAAGTACAAATTTTTCTTATTTACTCATAAAGACATTGGGACATAGACACCTTCCTAAGGAAAAAAAAAAAAATCACCCATAATCCTATTGTCTCAACACGGTCATTTTTTTTCATTCTAGTTACTTCCCTTCTGGTCTTCACTTTTTTGAGGCAGAGAATCTCACTGTTATGATCCACTGCCTCAGCCTCCCCAGTAGCTGAAACCGCAGGCGCATGTCACCACACCCAATTCTTCTAGATATTGTCTATGTTGCCTGTGCTGGCCATGAGCTTGCGATCCTTCTGTCTGCCTCAGCCTAAGTAGCTGAGATCACAGACATGTGCCACTGTACCCAGCTTTTAGAATGAGTCAGAAATAACATCTGGGCCTCCCATGGCCTCAACATGTACAGTAGCAGTGTCTGCTAGTGCATGCTACTGAGGCTGAGCTCCTTCTGGTTTTATTGCATAGGCATTCACATTTTATTTTATAGAGGTATAATCATTTCTAGATTTTTTTCTACTAATTATCCATTGGATACTTTAGCAAAGCTAATTCTCACTCTGGAAAGTATCACATGTATTTGAGGATATATCAGCTGAGTTCAGACCTCCAATATCTAAAAAAAAAAAAATAGAAAAATCTCAAATTTTGGTGCAGTAACATAAACGACTCCACTGAATCAAAGTTATTAGATTGCTTTAGTCCATTCTGTTGCTAACAACTGAATACCTGAGTCTAGGTAATTTATACAGAATAGAGGTTTATTTAGCTCACAGTTTTGGAGATCCAAGGAAAAGGGTCTGCATCTAGTGAGAGTCTTCTTGTTGGAGGGGGCTCTTTGCAGGGTCCCGAGGAGAGGCAGGGAATCACATGGCAAGGCAGAGCAAGTCTTTGTCTTCTCTTCCTTTTTTTTTGTTTTTTTCATCACCAGCAGACATGTATACTCACCAAAGTGAGAGATAGAAAAGGAGAAAGCACCCCCAATGGGACATGATTATACCGCAGTTTTTTCAACCTGGACACATCTGCACATGCACCTTGTGTGTTCTTCAAGATGCCAGAGCACGGATTCAAACCAATTGGCCATGCAGAATACAGTTCCCTTAAACACTAGGTTACGGGGCCGACCCCACCTGTAGATTTTGTTTTTGGGAGAGGTTTTTGCTATAGGGTGCATGAGCTCTCCAGAAAGACAGACAGAAAGCGAGAAATCATCCTCCAGGAGGGATAGCCACACTGCAATCCCTTTTCCTCCATTCTCCTCTCAGGATCTTGGGCACGCACACGCACATACCCAGTGTAAGTTTAAGCCACCGGGTCTGGGACTCGAACTGCGGTCAACTACATGGGAGTCCAGAGACATAGCCATTATGCTAACTGCTAGTCCCCCCATCTGTAGATCTTTATAAAGTTACCAGAAGTCCATTGTGGGGGCCCTACCCTGATAATCTAACGTAAGCTCTTTTCAAAAGTGACACCTTTTAACATCATAGACTAATCTTGCCTCAACATATGAATTTCTGGGGGACACATTCAAGCCATAGCACAGGTGTTTATCTTTAAGTGTGTATCTTACACTTCATCTGAGTAAGATTCGTAATGTAGAATGCTAATTAGAGATTTTGATTTAGTCTACAAATCATTCTCATGTCATCTGGAAAGGAGCGGTACATTTAAAGATTTCGATGGGCTGGCTTGGTACTGCAGTGGTAATCCTGTGATGATGAATCCATGTGGAAGATCAAGGGTTCAGTTCTCTGGTCAACCTAGATATGGAACACTCATGCTCATGACCTTGGTTGACTCAAAGGCTAGGTGGGAGTATGGATCATGGCATGCGATCCTGATGAACATGCTTTTCTCTCTCTCACATGAAAGAACTAAACTAAAAAAATTTTTGAATCAGTGTCTCTATATTCATAAACCTACCTCAATTCAAAGGCACTACATTAAATAGTTATTTTTTGGGGAAAAAATTCAATTCTGAATTAATCAAGAAGTGGAACAGCTGAAATTTGCATTTTATCAGCAGATAAAAATATAACTTTTCAGGCCAGCAGGTGGCATGATAGCTAAAGGGGCTGGACTGCATGTGCCCGAATGAGTGGTTCACATCCCAAAGCCAGCAGCTTGAAAAATTTCAAGAGTAGAATGGAGAAGGGATTGGGAGGTGAATATCCCCCCCGCCCCCATGACTTTCTCACTTTCTCTTTGTTGAGCAAACACATCTTAGAGTAAATAAAACAAAAAAAGAAAAAGAAAAGGGGAAAATTATTTTCTTCTTAAAAATTTTCTATAGAGTGGGCGTGCTTCTTGGGCAAAGAGAAAAGACAGTGAGAAGGAAAGTGAGAAAGCAACCCCCAGGGGGAATGGCCACATCGCAATCCCTTCTCTATTTTTCTGGAAAAAAAAAAAAAATTTTGCTATAGGGGAAATGGGATGGCCACCCTGTGACCCCCCTTCTCCACCATTCTGCTCTTGGGATCTTGAGATTTTGGGCACACATACACATGCCTGGTATAGTTTTTAAACTGCCTGGTCCAGACTTATAGTAGATCATGTGGGATCCAGCCAACATAACCACCATGCCACCAGCTGATATTAGAAAGAAATTTTAATAGTAAACTTTAAGAAATGTGGTCCAGCTGGTGACATGGTGGTAAGGCAGCTGAATCCCGCATTGCTGACTGTGCAGTTTGAACCCAGTGTCAGTCGCTTGAAAAATACGCTAAGTGTGTGTACACCCAAAGACTCAAGAGGAAATGGGATTGCAGCATGGCCATCACCCACTGGGGGGTGTTTTCTCCCCACCCCACCCTGCTGTCTTTCTCTAGTGAGCACATATACGCTATAGCAATAAAGAAAGAAAAAATTATGCAAATCCTTTTTATTTTAAAACTCTTAATGTCAAGTGGGTCACTTTCAGGCTAAAAGTATTTGCTTTCTTCCTTAGCATTACTCATTCAATTATACTGTCACAGGCATAATCCATTTATAGATGTGGTAGACAAATTCTTTCTCTCTCCATTCTGTAAATAACTCAAACTGTAATTCTGGGTACCCAAAATTTACTTTTTTTGGTTACTAAATACTTGGGATGCACATCATTAGAATGTAATTGGCTACTGTGGTGTTAGAATAGTATGCCTATTTTAAGCCAAAGTAACACACTAAAAGCCAATCAGTAGTAACTACTTTGATACTTTTTTTTCCCTAATGTAATTCCTTATTCTCAGCATATTATAATTTGTAGTAAATGGGCTGCTGAAACAAACAGTTGCCATTCATGGGGCCCTGGTTACCATTCTCACTAGATTTTGGCAACTAAAAGCTGTTACTGGGACCAGCAGATGGTGTAATGGTTATGTTGCTGGACTCTCACGTACTCGACCATGGTTTGAGTCCTGGACCTGGTGGCTTAAAACTCACGCTGGGCATGTGTGTGCCCAAAATCCTGAGAGGAGAATGGAGAAGGGATTGGGGCATGGCCACCCCCCAAGGGGTGATTTCTCCCTTTCTGTCTCTCTGGTGAGACACACAGATCATTAATTTGGGAACTGTGAATACCAAAGTAATCAATGAATAAACAGCTGACAAAGAAGCAGCTAAACATTTAACTAAACCCTGGGATATATGCTGTACAAAGGAAAGAACTGTACAGATGACAAAACAATCTTAAGAAAGAAAAACCTCTTCTAAGGAAGTGATGAAAAATTTTGGAAAACTTTAGAACTATGTCCATAAAAATGAATGGTAATTGTTTTTACTCTTTCTAATGTGAGTAGAGGCAGAGCTCTGGAGACCATAGAAGAAGGCAAACAAGCAGTGCTGAGTGGTGTATTTGTTGTTTTACTGTTAATTTGACACATCTGAACCAAAGCATTCACAATACTTGATATACTTTGAGGAGAATCATATACTATAGTCTTAGACATAACCACAGAACAAGCAAACAATTAAAACTACATAAGGCCTTAAAATATATCCACAGTGTGTATTATTTCAATAGTCATTCATTTACAAATTAGACTACATACCGTTAATTTTATTTTTATTTTTCTTCCATTGTTTTATTCAGGCAGGATTCATTCAAGGAAAGGCAACTTAGTTTTGAGTGTGTGTGTGTGAGCTTTATTTTTTACTATATTGGTTAATATAAAAGTTATGAATTAATTGTTTTCTTATCTCCTGTATCCAGGAGTGAATCCATGAAATTTTCAGATAGTAGTCCAAAACAATAGTTCTAGTCTTAAAAACAGCCAGTCTGTTCATGATGTTGAAGAACAACTAATGTACTTTCAGGTTTTCATATAATGAAGAGTACTATAATTCTACAAGTTTAGTCAAAATTTAAAACAACATTGCATACAAAATCATTCTTAAAGCTCTTAAATGCCTTTTAAATAACTAAAAAGAAAACTTGGAAGTTGCTGCGTCACAGTACCAAACTTATAAATCAAATCTAGTTAAAATTCAGTGCTATCATGACTTCTCATTTACAAGGTAAACTATCAGTAAATTAACAGATGGCATAAAAATTAAGACTTACATCATTTTTTAGGATAAATGTATAACAAGAGAATACAGAAAATTTTATTTATTTTACAATAAAATAATAACCATTTAAACCTCTATCCCTGTACAACAGGGTTTAGGTTAACTGTAGTGAACTTGCATGTTTTCATATATTTTTTTAACATTTACTATTATGAGTACTTGAATTGCTTTAGTTATATAGCTTTTACTTTTTTTTTTTTTTTTGGAAAAGAATATTACATTTGTATACCAGGATAAGATTTAGTTCTTTGAGATGTTTTAAAAATATTTATAAATTTGTTCCTTCTGATATGCAAAAGCATTTGCAATACTTTTACAGCATTTGATTTTATAGAATTAATTAAAATTTCATACAGTACTCATCTTGATGTTTAAAAAAAAATTTCAAGAAAAAATATAAATTACACAGCCTGACTGCATGATACTGTTATTTCCAGTTTCTAGGTTCTGGTAATTAAAACCTTCATTAAGTCTGTTAACAAATCATTACCTGTACATTTATGAAGGCAACTGACATGATTTGCAAACAAAACCTTCAGGTTTTATGTTATTTACCAAGAGTGCAGTTCAGCAAAAAAAGAAAACCCAGTATGCAAATTTACAGAGTATTTTACAAATTTACCAATTCCTGTGACACGAACTGTTTCAACCTCTCAAGGTATTGTCCATAAAGTTCCACATCATTGTGACCTGCTCCTTCAACCCACAGAGGCTCCACTGGTCTTTGGCACCGCTCAAACAATGCGAGGCCATGTGAAAAGTCAATGACTTCATCTTCAGTCCCATGAATTATTAATACTGGAGAGGTTATCTTAGAGATTTTGTCAATGCTGTGGAAAAGAGAAAGGGAAGAAAATCAATAAATTAACTATGTAAAGGAACACATTTTCTTATGTTACAGACAGAAATTCACGTGTTACAGACAGAAATTCAAACATCAAAACTGAATCAGTTCAAAAGGGATAGATGGCTCTTGGATTTCAAATAAGATTCAAAAGTAGCCTTCAATATACTCCCTACCCTAAGACTCTGAGAAAATAATCTCCATGCACACTGACTTTGGTGGAATCACTCAATGCTACTATCATTCCATTGTACCTTTTACAGAGATGATTTTTAGCATAGAGAATCTTAGGTAGTTAAGGGGAGGAGGACACTAATGAGGATTTCAAGTACATGTAATGCCGTCACTTTCTGCACTCAGTAAAGTCTCCCTCCTAATCTCCTAATAAAATGACAACAAAACTTTTTTGTTCTTGTTGAGTAAAAACTCATAAAAAGGAGAATGTAATAAAATATAACAATATTTTGGACCTGGAAAGCGGATAAATGTGTAAGAAAAATGATTAAATTAGGTAAGACAAATAATTTAAGCAGATAGGTTTTGTAAACCCAATTTATACCACAATACTCTGGAAGAATAAGGAATTACCACGGGAATAAAGGCAAGTAATTGAAACATACATGGCTTGTTCAAAGTCCATCTAAGTAATGGGCTTCTCTTCCCCAGGTCCTTTCCACCTCTTTAAGCAGCTAAATAACTACCCTCCCCCAAGACTGGAGGATCTGTGGAGTGGGAGATTTCCAAACTTGGTTAGGGCAGAATTATCATAGAGACCAAAGAAACATACATATATGGCTATTATTTACGTTACTTTGCTCTCAGAATAATGGCAACCAGGATCCTCCGAGGGGGAGTTTTAGGAAGACCCTTCCTTGGAGATTGTAACAGATCAGCTCTTTAGTTCCTTATCTTACACAAGAGCAAACAATCAAGAATGACCAGACATTAGAGAAGGAAACTTAAAATATAAGACAGAAATTAAAAAATGGAATTTTAAAATGGCAACTTAGGGGAGAAAGAAACCTCATAAACAATTTTTTGTTTTGTTTTTAAGGTTTTTACCATAGGGGCATGTGCTCCTCAGAAAGAGAGAGGGAAGGAAGTGAGAAATCACTCCCCAGTGGGGATGGCCATGCAGTCCCTTCCCCTTCTTGGGATTCTGTGCATGTATTCACATGTGCCCAGACTGATTTTCAAGCTCCAGGACTCAAACTGTGTCAGCCATAAAGGAATCAAGAATTTTAACCACCAAATCATCTGCTGGTCCCTAAACAATTCTTTTTTAAAAAGCTTGGTGTTATATTACTTGCTGTCAGAAAGTTGTTCAACAGTAGAGAAATTAAAACTTAAATTAAAAATATAAAAAGTATGATCTTTGTCCAACAATTTCTTTATGGTTAGTGCTGCTCCATTAGTGAGCCAGAAATGAAGTCAGCTAGACAGAAATGTAAGTTGGTAACAGTATCATCTCAAATACCTACATATCATTTCTATTATTGTTCCTTTTCCTACAAATTTTACCAGAGGGCACCTATGCTCACCAGGCAGACAGAGATAGAGGGAGAGAGAAGGTACCCTCCCTATGGGGTAAGGTCACATCACAACCCCTTCTCCTTCATTTCTCCATCCAGGTAGGATTTTGTGCTGGACACACATGTGCCCAGTATGTTTCTCAAGTTGCCACATCTGGGACTCAAACTGCACATGATCTGGCTGCTTTAAGCCACCAGACCAGAGCGGACCCCCTCTTATTGTTCTTGTAAAGAACCAAGTGATGACTTGGCCTTTGGCCCACTGGTCATCATGTACACACCAAAATCCCTTTTATTGCTGCCAACCGGGGAGTGAAAAGACGACTGAAATTTGCCAGCTTAGCCTTCTAGCCTTCTCCTTCCTTGAAAAAAAAAAAAAGTTATCAATTTTTTTCTAGCTATGACGTGGAACAGGTAGAAACTACCTATCCTGAGAAACAGGAAGTAGCTGCCCTTCTTTCAAAACCATTTAATACAGTATATTTGCAGACTCTGTATTGAAGCAATATCTACTCTAGTTAATTAAAGCCTCAACTTTTTGCAATTTACTTCTCTTGTAAATTAGATATCATTAATTAGCAATCATTCACTCATTTTTCCTTCTACATGTTCTTCTCTTACAATATTATGTTTCACAGCATGGCACCATAATTCATTATCAACGAAAGGCAAAACCTGGGAGGTACATTGAAGTACTTCTTTTTAACTTCCCATATCCAGTCTGACACTTGGATATATCGCTTTATTTCTCAAATTCATTCCCTTGTTTTCAATAGCAGTGCCACTGCCCAAGGTATAACCCTCAGTACTTTTTATTTATTTATTTTTTTGAGAGGTTTTTGCTATAGGGCGCGTGCGCTCACCAGACAGAGAGACAGAAAGTGAGAAATCACCCCCCAGGGGAGATGGCCACGCTGCAATTCCTTCTCCTCCATTCTCCTCTCGGGATCTTGGGCACGCACGCACACACGCCCGGCATGAGTTTTAAGCCACTAGGTCCAGGACGCAAACCGCAGTCGACTACATGGGAGTCCAGTGACATAGCCATTACACTAACTGCTGGTTCCCACCCTCAGTACTTTTCATATGGAGTCCTACTGCTGACACACTTCCACTTCCTGACTGACTGATCATCTGCCAACCTCTCCTTTACAAATTAATTTTTTACAACTCTACGTGACAACATAGGTAACAGAAGCTCATGGCTGAGACAGATGTGTGTATTTTAAGTGAAAAGGACTCTCACAAAAGTTTCTTGGAATTCAACCGGTTTAATATTGTACTCACTTTGGGAATGCATCAAAACAGTAGGTCTTCTTAGTATCAGGAAAAGCAACTCGCATTCCTGAGGTCAAAGGAGAATGAAGTATAACAGCAGCACTCTCATACCGAGCAGCAAGATCCACAGATGGTACTGTCCCTATACTTTGGCCATAGATGATCACATTTTCAGGGCGAATGCCATATCTACAAAGTCCAGAAGTTAAAAAAAAAAAATAGTTGGATTGGTACAAAATGTTTCACTGATCTTCAGGATTTGACCTTAGAGTAACTTAGACTGAGAATGCCAACTAATTTACATTTAGTTTTATTTTCTTAGTCATCACCATAACTTTTAATGTTACAGTAAGGTCTATATTACATATAGATTTAAATATAAATGCCGGAGAATGCATATAGGCAACACAAAAAGAGAGAGAAAATATCCCTGTGCCCCATTGGGGTGTGATTGTGATTCAAAACTTTTTCCTCCTTTTGTTCATCTTGTCAGGATCCTGGGCATGCCTGCACCACACACACAGCATATTTTCAGGCACTAGGTCTGAGATTTGACCTGCAGTTGGCCATGTGGGATCCAGCTCCCACTGCACAGCACTTAACCACTGTGCAACAGGGTTAGTCCAAGATCTTAGCTTATTTCTTCAGGTGTTTCCATTTCATCTTTTGGAAAAATAATTGCTGAGGTGTTAATTTAAAATCATGATCTCAAGAAATCAATGTATTAAATAATTTATTATGTTATATGGCTACCATTCGTTATTTCACTATTATTTTAATAGTGTGATGTTGACTGGATATTTAATAGACATTTTCCATTCAATATAAAAAAAGTTCTTTATTTCTACCAACATCAGGAGTGGCTCATGTCATTTTTTAAAAAGTGGCTTATTTTATGAAACTGGTGATGAAATTCTACATATGGCTATGAAATGGAATGAATAAAAATACATATCACTTTATTCAAGAGCAAATTAGTATTTTTCCTTATTATGGCTTTGCTTAGTCATAGAAAATAAACTAATGATTGAAAAGATGAACAGATGAATGACAATTTCAAACAGTGTAGTTAATTATGAATAGATTTCATGCTAACATCTCAAGACTATAGTACTGTTTTATATCCCTTTTAAAACTGCTACAGATTTAAATATGTGAACATACTGACCTGATGAATATTTATTGAGCATGCATTATGTTCCAGGAACTGTTACTTGTCTACAATCTATTTGTCCCAACTGAAAACTATTATGGTGCACATGAGGTACTAAAAAGCGAATCAATATGAGATTAAGGGCTCTAGCAACATTACGTATGCTTTTCTACTAAGAAAGTAGACAGCAGTCACTTCTGAAGCCATTTGAACAAAAGCTGTAGTCTCTTGGAAAAGTTAAGAGAGTTTTCCGAGATTCTGAAGATTCACCAGGAGAGAAAGCAGTAAACTATCCTTGTATTCTCTTCCAGGAGCACAAGACTATTTCCAGCATCCAGGTAGTGACACACCTCCCCATGGTTTCCCCAATCAGCCCTACACAAACATTTGTATATGATCTAGAGGTGAGGTTTCATCTATTCCACAAAGACATGACATCTTAATAAACTCAGAAAAGCTTTTTTCTTCACAGGTGACTTAAGTTGTATATATTTCATGGCAATAAAGAAATTAGGAGAATGAACATTTGCAGCATCATCACAACTCTTGAGGCTACACTGCTGTTGTCAACGGAATACCATCTCTGCTGGGGGCAACTATGAGATTAGGAGTAAGGCTAGCAATGACAGGACTCTAGACAGAGCAGCAGGCAGGGAGAGCAGACAATAAAGTATCAGAAAACTCAAAAGTAGTAACAATTTCAGAGTAATATAAGTTAGAGAAAGAACTTTAGAGATCATCTAATCTAGTCCAGCTGCTTAATGAGTAGATGCTTAAAGTCACAGTTAAATCAGTGGTAGACCTAGAATGATAACCTAGGTATGTATATGGACTTCTAGGCCATATACATATCCATTACAGCACACAGAAAAAGAGCTCAAGGATTGTAAAATAAGGTTGCATAGTGAATAACAGGTCCTTATTTTCTGCTGGTTCATCAGATGGTCAGAAACTAGGGGTACTAGAGGTATCTAATTTTTCTGAAAAGGGTCTCACTCAAATAATTATTTAAGTTCATTATTGTCCCGTTCCTGGTTACTTAAGTCTATTTTTTTAAGAGAAATTTCTGCTATAAGGTGTATGCACTTGCCAGAGAGACAGAAAGTGAGAAATCACTCCCTAGGGGGATGGCCATACTGCAATCCCTTCTCCTCCTGGGATTTTGGGCATGCATGCACATGTGCCTAGTGTGAAATTTTTTTAAGCCGCTAGGTCTGAGACTCAAACCATGGTCGACTACATGGGAGTCCAGCAACATAACCATTATGTCACCTGCTGGCTCCTTAGGTCTCTCTCTCTCTCTTTTTTTTTTAACTTTTATAAGTGAAAGAAAATAAAGTACATATATTCGAATTGCATATATTTTATTAGATGATAGAATTCCAGAGCCAGAAAAGAATCTTTGAGATAATTTAATTCAATTGTTTCATTAAACAGATGAAGAAACAGGAAGCTTAGAAAAGTAAACTTCTGGGCTAGCAAGGTAGCATGGTAGTTAAGGTGGCGAGATCCAACATGGCTGCCTTATTTGATTCAAATCCTGGATTCAGTGGCTTGAAAAATATGCCAGGCACAAGTGTGTGTCCAAAATCCTGAGAGGAGTGGTCATCCCCTCTGGGGAGTGCTTTTTTACACACACTCTCTCTCTCTCTCTCTAGTGAGTGCATGCATCCTATGGAAAATTTATATGAGAAACAAATTCCCCTAGACTATACTTACTAGCCCTTCCCATTCTAACTAGGTTCCAAACAAAAGTATGTCTAAGATAAAAAAAAAAAAAAACAAGCATTAAAATAGTATATAGGATTATTTAAGAATTTGATCTATTCTGCTTGTTTCTCATAATACTATATATTGAATGTGTTAAAAAAGATTAATCAAGACTAGACATTATTTAGAAAGCGTCCTTTTAAGTTGATATCCAACAAAATAAGAAGGTAGAGTAGCACTTAAAAGGGAATTTTTAAAAATATAGAACTAGAATACTAAACTGGATAGTATTTTTTGTTTGAATAAATGTATACTTTTGTGTTACTTAGAAATAAAAATAATGAAGGCTGTTTTAACTTAGCACTCTTTAAAACCATACAATTGCACAGAAGTTATACTTAACTATCATCTTTTAAAGTTTATTTCCTCCAAATGACACAGAGAGAAATAGCATCCCAACAAAGTCTTTAAAAAAAAAAATATATATGTATATGTATGCAAATAAATAAATAAATAAATAAATAGGGACATAGCAAGTGAGTGAGCAAGGGAGAAAATAAGAAGGCAAGCTACTAGGTCCAGGACTCAAACCGTGGTTGGTCATGTGGGAGTCCAGAGCCCTTAACCACTCCACTACCCGCTGCCCCACAACAGTGTTGATACCACACTCTTAACCCCAATTTCAGGCAGCCCAGATCATGTGGACATATCATGTGGATCATCATGAGGACACACAGCTTCCTCTGGGTGGTCCTTGGACCAAATCATGACACCTTCCCAAGTAGTCCAGCCTAGCAGAGCATAGTTTTACCACTGTGCCACTGTCTGGTACCAGAAGTTTTATATATATATATATTTATTTATTGATTTTTTTTTTTAATTTGACCAGAGAGAGACAGAGGGTGAGAGTGAGAGAGAGAGGAAGTGAGAAAGCAAGTCACCAGGTCCAGGACTCGAACCCTGGTCGGCCATGTGGGAGTGTACAGCGCCTTAACCACCACGCCACCCGCTGGTCCCCAGAAGTTATATTTTAAAGTGTAAACTTTATAGTATGTGGATTCTATCTCAATAAATCTTTTATTTAAAAAAATGAATAATGCTTTCTGCCAGTTGTTATACTATTGGGACATTGGGAAAGTCATGATACACTTTTGCATAGAAAAAAAACAGAAAAATACATCACAATTGTGCCAACAACCTAATACATTCAATTGGCTAACTCTAAAGTATTCCTTTTTTTATTTTGTTTAAGGCCTGATAGAACTCATATTTATAAATGCCTGAAAATATTCTTGATTTAAATCAGTTTTAAAATTTATAAAGTAGGGACCAGGAGATGGCATAATGGTTATATCGTTAGACTACCACATAGTCTACCACGGTTCAAGTCCCAAACCTGGCAGCTTAAAACTCACGCAGGGTGGACGTGCATGTATGCCCAAAATCCCAAGAAGAGAATGGAATAGAAGGGACTGTGGTGGGGCCATCCCCCCCACCCCCGGGGAGTGATTTCTCAGTTTTTGTGTCTCTTTCCGTCTCTCCAGCAAGTGTACATGCCTTATAGCAAAACATCTCTCTAAAAAAAAAAATTTATGAAGTACATAATTTTTGCCATGTCCCCATGAACTCTTTATCTATAGTTTAATCAACTTTTTTTCTTACTTTTCAAACTTATGTTTTTATATCATCTTGATTGATCGAATCTACTTTATATAAAATTCTACTATGAAAGCATGACTTTATTCTATTTCTTAGAAGGAGAAATAATTTTAAAGACATTTTCTAAAACAAGGTTACATCTATTAATAAAACTGAGGAGGTTCTCTCTGACTGAAACTATTAATAATTAAATAGTAAATTAGAGAAACACTGAGTTTTCTTTGTCCTCTATCTTCAGTCACTGAAAGTCAGGTACCTTGAGGTAAATAATGTATATTAAGATATATTTCAATTTATTGTAAACTAACCTAATGAGAAAATACATCAATGTGTACAAAGTACAACAGTTCAAGAAAATTTTATAAGTATCCTATTGACTAGAAAGAATCATGTATTTTTAGTTCCTAAGAATGTCACAGTGAAAGAATAAGTGATCATGTAAGTTTTTAAAGCAATTTATCATAATATTACTTTTTTTAAAGAATTATTTTATTTAACTTTATTTATTATTATTATTTTTTTTCAGTGAGAGACAGATAGAGACAGAGAGAGAAAGTGAGAAAGCAAGCCTCAGGTCCAGGACTTGAACCACAGCCAGCCATGTTGGAGTCCAGTGCCCTTAACCAGGCCATCCGCTGGCCCCCATAACATTACTTTTTTATTTTTATCTTGAGAGATCATCGTATTTTAGGAATCTAGAAGGTAAAGCAAAATCTTATTTTTGCAGAATGAAAACCATAAAAAATAATTCCAATAAGGTATTTTTAAATTGTACCTTCCAATAATTAATTATATAAAATAATGCAAATGAAACCTTAGGATTTTAACAAAAAGCAATCCAGCCTCCTACACTATTAATGACAGATCAAGTAAATGATCAGCAAATTTACTGTTTTCTCTCATTCCTTTTCTCTATTCAAAGTGGCAGCATAGTTGTTCATATGACTCTCCAATAAGAAACTTCATAAAAATCAAACTTATGACTTTCATTTTAAGTCCTTAAACAAAAAAATCACGTTTTTACATACACACACAGATTGAACTGTCTTCATAACAGTTCAAGATGTGCAATCAAATCAGTTTTTATTCTATCCTTATACAGTATAATTTCAGCAAAGTGTGAAAAGTATCTTTCAACTACAATTTACCTTGTCCTGAGAGCAAGCCAAGCAGCTTCAATGTCTGCATAGAGGTTCTTCTCTGTTGGTTTCCCAGAACTTGCACCATATCCAGAATAATCATATGAGAATATATTACAATTAATCCGTGATCCCAGTCCAATGTAAAAGCTGCTCATCTGACCAAGATCAACAGCATTTCCATGTGAGAAGAGCAAAGTATATTTGGCATTGGGTGAGCAACGCACAAACATGCAGGCAATTCTGTTGCCTTTACTGGTTCTAGTCATGAAACATTCAATAGCATCTTTTTCTCTTGAAGAGTACTGCCAGTCTGCTCGTTCTGATAGATGTAAAGTCCAGCGGCTTCCACTTTCATCACACATCAATGTGTAAGTTGGATCAGGTGGCAAAAAAGCTGATTTTGAAGCAATTTTTCCTGGACAAGGTGGACAGCAGAAGAGGCAACATAGCTCACTAAATGAAAGGTTATTCATCTTCTGAAAAAAGAAAAAGAGAGAGCAAATGCTTTAATAACTGAATTTAGATTATGCATTTTTGTACAATAGAAGGTTAAAACAGAGACATGGATCAATTTTATTGATGGTCAATGTCTACTATTATTTCAAATATCTTCTCAAAGGCATTTCTTGCATTTTAAGAGAAATACTTTAAATTCTGGGATGAGGTAAATATTCCTGACCAGTAGACAGACTCAAACACTGCATGAACATTTTTTTCAAACAGTAGTGATTATCGTCTCACTTAACAAGAATGAGAAAAATAACATGATGCTTGCTACTTCTCCACAAATAACAACATACGAGGTTGTCAGAAAAGTCAAGATGTGTTTTTCCCTTTTTTTTTTTTTTAAAGGTTTTTGTTATAGGGCACGTGCACTCGCCAGAGAAAGACAGAGACAGAAAATGAGAAATTACCTCCCGGAGGGGACGGCCACATCGTAATCCCTTCTTCTCCATTCTCCTCTTGGGATTTTTGGACTGCATGCTTTCACATGCACCCAGTTTGAATTTTTTAATTAATTAATTATTTTATTATCATCCTAATCTTGTTTATATTACATTGGATTGTATAACTTTAGTGTATTATACTGCTTTTTCAAGAGGGAATGCCATGTATGTCAGTCAATACAGAGACATTAATCTCCCCACTTCATCATTCAATATCTTTTCATTGTTTTTTCCCAATTATCATTATTATTCCAATTAATTTTTTAAAACAATCACTATTTCTCGTTTTGCCTGTAAAAAGACTTTACTCATCATGAAATACTTCTCAGACCAATCCAGTTGAGAATACTATACATGTCACCATCAGCAGGTAATAAGCCATATCTGTTTCCCACTAACATCCTGCCTTTCCATTTGTTCTCTTGCTATCTTTCTCTATGCTCTTCTCTTCACCCCACCTCCCCCAATCCACACTGTCTTATTCTCATTAAGTACTTTCACTGCTTTTATGTCCTCCAATATTTCGCTCTCTTAAGCTACCAGGTCTAGGACTCGAACTGCGGTCGATTACGTGGGAGTCCAGAGACATAATCATTACACCATCTCTTGTCCCTATGTTTCTCTATGCAAAAATGCATAACCTTTCTGATGACCCAACAGAAAGCATGAATTATCTCTAGTGTGTATTTTTTGTTGTTGTTGCTGTTTTTAAGGTTTTTGCCTTAGGGCAAATACGCTGTGAGAGAGTAGGGGGGAGGAGGGTCAAAGATACTGAGAGGGAAAGTGAGAAATCACTCCGAGTGGGGATAGCCACACCACAATCTTCCGTTCTCCTCTTAGGATCTTGGGTATGCGCGTGCATGTGCACGCGCACGCACACACATGCACACACACGCACACACACACACACACACACACATGCTTGGTGTGAGTTTCAAGCCACCGGACCCGCGACTCACACTGCATTCGGTCATGTGGGAATCCAGTGATACAGACACTACACCATCTGCTGGCTCCATTGTTAGTGTGTTTTGTAATTTCTTCAGTGTGTAACTCATGAAAATTCTCAGACTACCATGAAGAAGCTAGGTATTTAACATGAAAAAGTAATAAAAATATATTACTATAAATCTGTGTTAACATTAATGTAAAATAACATTTATGAAGCAGTGTGTCAGACATTATGCTAAGTGCCCTCTATATTACTTTAATTCTCCAAATAATATTATAAGTGGTTTGAGAAAAGAAATTTGCACAAGGTGAGGCAGTGGTGGAGCTAGGATTTGATGCCAGGCTTAGTCGCTATTTTACATTGTTGGGTCACAATGGCTCATGAGTTTATGACACTATTTTGTCTAAAAGCTTATCCTTCAAGACAAGGTGGTAGTGGCTTAGATAATCTATAAAACATAAAAATGCATTTAAGTATGTATGAATATATGTATGGAATTGCTGCCCAAACTAAAAAGGCAATAGTATATAAAGTATTATGAAAAAAAGGTGACATTTGCTAACGGTAAAATTTCTTAAATACTTGGATGAAAGAGAGCACAGAGTTCGAAGTGAGAAGGCTAGGGTGGAATCCCAACTCTTAATACTTTTTTTTTTTTTGCTATAGGGCACGTGCGCTCACCAGACAGACAGAGAGAGACGGAGACACAGAAAGCGAGAAATTGCCCCCCAGGGGGGATGGCCATGCCGCAATCCCTTCTCCATTCTCCTCTCAGGATCTTGGGCACACACGCACACGAGCCCAGCGTGAGTTTATGCCACCTGGTCCGAGACTCGAACCGCGGTCAACCACATGGGAATCCAGCGACATAGCCATTACGCTAACTGCTGGTTCCTGTCAACTCTTAATACTTTTGAGCTATCTGTTTTTGGGCAAATTATTTATGTCTTTGACCTTCCTTTTCTTCAAAGGAAAACCAGGCCAACACCTACAGTGAACTGAGTGGTTGTGAAGAACAAATACAATGAGGGAGAAGCAAATATAGGGATAGTCACGCTCAAGAATGGTCTATTTTCTCAATGTATTTTTCATTTTTATTTTTAAGAAATATTTAGAAATATTCGGGACCAGCAGTTAGCGTAATGGCTATATCGCTGGACTCCCATGTAGTTGACCGCAGTTCGGGTCCTGGACCCCGTGGCTTAAAACTCACGCTGGGCGCCTGTGCAGGAGTGCCCAAGATCCCAAGAGGAGAATGGAGGAGAAGGGACTGCGGCATGGCCATCCCCCCAGGGGGTGATTTCTCGCTTTCTGTCTCTCTCCGTCTGTCTGGCGAGTGCACGCGCCCTATAGCAAAAAAAAAACTTCTCAAAAAAGAAAAATATTTAGAATTATTAAATTTTATATATTATTATTTTTTTGGAGAGGTTTTTGCTATTGGACACATACACTTGCCAGAAAGACAGAGAGAGACAGAGAGATAGAAAGCGAGAACTCACCCCCCAGGAGGGATGGCCAGGCTGCAATCCCTTCTCCTCTCGGGATCTTGGGCACTCTCACACACATACCCAGCTGAGTTTAAGCCACCGGGTCCAGGAATCGAACTGCAGTTGACTATATGCGAGTCCGGTGACATAGCCATTACGCCAACTGCTGGTCCCAAATTTTACAGAGTTAGAAAGCAAGCCATCAGGTCCAGGACTTGAACCATAGTCAGTCACGAGGGAGTCTGGCATCTTAACCACACCTTGTGACCTGCCAGCCCCTTTCATTATTATTTTTAATAATGAAATACCTCTCAGGTTCCGTGGCACCCAGCGTGTTCCCCAAACTATCTACACACAAGAACAGGAAAAAACATACATGATTATACTAAAAATTAGAAGAAATCATCTCAGGGGAATGACTAGAATTGAGACTATTTAGGAAGGAAGTAATGCCCTTTTCACTGATTATTGAACCAAAATATATTTTCTAACTCTTAATATAAATGTGTTAACTTGCTAGTATGAACTTTAAGTAGAAAGATGCAAAAATAGCACAGGTAGAGTGAGAAAGAAGCATAGGTATGATAATGAAGGGTTCAGAAGATGGGTAAAGAAGTGACAGAAAAATGTCTTATACATAAGGAAACAGTCTTGTTATTCTATTTTTTCTATACTCCAAAACAAACACAGGCTGAATAAATTAACATCTTAGTCTGGTTAGAACAAGAATCAGAACAGAAATGACAATGAAGTGCCAGCTCTAGAACTAACTAATTGGCTCCCTGGAGTATATTATGCTGAGAATAATTCTGAGGGCATACACAGGGCTCAGTGCAATGAATACGTGATAAGTCAGGACGACCACAGCATTTGGCTACAAATCTACTATGTTGGTTAGGAAGATAAAGAACCTGGTAAAGAAGATGGCAGAAAAGGTTCAAAGAGTCTGTCTCAGAAGAGGAGATAACCTAGAGAAAGAAGATGAAGTAGAAGTTGTAATAAATCGCTTCTATTTAATAATCTGCTTATTTCTTATCCCCAATTAATTTAGATGCCATCGACTGCTGACCTACAACGGTCTATTAAAAGCTTGATTAATAAGTAGCTAAATTATGTTCCTGTAATAACCTCTTACCTTTTATATACTATAACGAACTAATTTTGAAATAAACCTGAATGAATGTATATAATGCACAAATGCTTTGGGGGATGAGCACCAAAGGAAAGCAGCAGTAAGAAGAAAAGCTACAGTCCCAGGGTCTAGTTTAATAAAAAGAAAACCTGACCTTCTTAATGGTGACAGACAAAATGATCCCTACCTTGACCTTCCTAGAGCCAGATAACTGGGGTCCATTTAACCAACTTGCAAATTATCACTTTATTAATAACAAGCCAGGTATAGGGCAGCAACACAGACCTACTTAAAGTTACTGTCCTCTTTACTGTAAGTTTGAAGAATGGTATAGTAATAATAAAAATCTAAGTTTTAGTATGACCTGGGAAAGTTACTAATTCTATTCTTAATTTTTAAAATGACTGAAATGGATTCTTAAGTCCCACTTGCTTTTATAAAACTCCCATCTGAATAAAAATATCACTTACTAGTTATTTCTTGGCAAAAAAAAAAAAAAGTTGGAAGAGACAAGGCAATCCAATGGGGAAAATGTTAAGGCATTTGAGAGTGCACAGAAACCATAAAAGAGACAACAAATTTAATGATTTATAGCAAAGAAAAAGTTTTTATACTAGACAAGCAAGGATCTAAAATAAGGTATAATAAACCCACCCCCTGAGGAGGAAGAGAAAGCAGAATATTTAAAGATGAAGCAGGAAAAAGTATCATACAAAAAAACCCAGCTGCAAATTCCCAGTATTAAAGTCAACAGGTGGGTCAGCCTGTGGCCTGGTGGTTATATGAGCTGAATCTCATGTGGCTGACTGTGTGGTTCAAATTCTAGACAAGATGGCTTAAAAAAGACACTGAGCACATGTGTACATGTGGAAAGGAGTGAGAAATAGAAAAGGGACTGTGTTGTCACCATTCACCACAGGAGGGTGTGTATGTGGGGGGTGGGTCTCTCTCCCCTTAA